TAAGTCCCGACGGCGCTTAATTGGCCGCTGGAGACACGAGCAACATGTTCCCCCTTTCGCGCCATGCGCTCTTGTCTGAGTTGCCGTAGTGAAAAAGGCAAGAGGAAACGATCCTCGCACCTCCGCGTGCACTTTATGTGCAGGGGCGCCACTGAAGTCGTCGCTGTCGTGGCGGTCTCCCTCGCCCCCGTCGTCTAGGTGGACTCACCCTCGCGCCCAAATAATGAAAAACGTGTCCCTCCACGAGACGTGCCAGGAATGTGTGATGCAGATCTGGGGGGCCCCCCGCGCCGATTTATTTCCGTCGCTCGATCGTCCGTGGCCTGCCCCTCCCTCGCCTGCCCTACCCCTGGCCCTTGTGCCAGCCCCCTCGCCTACCCCTCGTCCACGTCTCAGCCCCCACTGGAACCCTGGCCTACTCCTGGCCCTCCTCGCCCCCCCCTGGCCACCGAACCCTTCGTTTTCGACGTCCGCTCGTTCGTTCGTGGCCCGCCCCCCGCCCTCCCCTGGCCTACCCCTGGCCCTTGTGCCAGCCCCCTCGCCCCCCCCCCCTGGCTCCGAATCCTCGTGGCCCCCTCCGCTCCTTGGCCTTCAAGGGAGATCGGAGCCCCCGTATCGTCCTCGTCGTTCGTTCGCTCGCTCGCCGCCCCCCCTGGGCACCCCAGCCCCTGCATCCTCATGACGTTCAGGATGGCCCCAGGAGAACACCAGGATGGCCCCCCCCCAAAAAAACCCTCCTCGCCCCGCCCTGCCCTCCCTCGCCCTCCCTCGGACAAGAACCACGGCACGCGTGCCGCTCGTTTCGTCGCCGTGTCGTCGTGTCATTGTGTCGCGGCCGCCCCTGGCCCCCTGCCGTGGCCTCCCGGCAGCCCCGGCCTACCAGGCCTGGGTGGCAGCCAGAGCCTCGGGCCTCCCTGACCTCCTCTGGCCTCCCCCCCCCGGGGGGGCTTCGGATTGCTTTAGTGTTGTCGTCGACGGTCGTCGTGTCGTGTCGTGTCGTCGAATCGTCGTGTCCTTCCCTGCCCCCCCCCCGCTTGCGGGCTTCGGGACTGTCTTATTATAGTCGTCGTCGCGTCGTCGTGGCATCCCTTGTCCTCCGCGCCCTGGCACCCCTGATAGCCCTGGCCTCCAGCCTCCCAGTCATGGGTGGTAGCCCAGGCCTCCAGTCTCCCTGACCTCCCTGGCCTCCCCTGGACTCCCCTAGCGACCCCCCCAACTCTGGGGATTCGGATTGTTTGTTCGTCGTCGTCGTCGTCGTCGTCGTCGTCGTCGTCGTGGCCTCGCATAGCCCCCCTGCCCTGGCCTACCTGGCCTCCCAGGCAGCCCTGGGCTTCGGACCCGCACGCTTCTGCTTTCCCTCGCCGCTCCCTCGTGTAAGAATCAGGGTACGCGTGCCACATATGATTCCCGATAACGATAACGGGTAATTGGCCGTTACCCTGGGGGAACGGGCTTGGGCCTCTGGTAACCGTAACGTTAGGGCGGGGTCGGGCACGTCGGGGTGGGGGTGCGCTGCGATCGCCAAAGTATGCGCGCGAACACCAGCATGTGGGGGTGTGCAGCCCCCCCCCCCGCAAACGTACGACCACCACCCTCTGCCTGGGGGAGGTAATGACCATTACGCGCCGGAGGATAAAAAAAACACAATGTGGCGAAGGTGGGTGGCCGTTCATGCGAGCTTCACGCAGTCGCACGGGCGCATCGCTATTGAGAGCTCGCACCCCCAGTAAAACCTACGAAAGGGCCCGCTAAATCCCAGCTGCGCCCCCACTAAATCTCATGGGCCTCCCACTGACAATCTATACATACGTGTATGTGTCAAGACTGCGTTGGCGCTTCGAGCCGTGCACCTTGGTCCTTGAGGCTTTCCATATATTGGTCGTTCGCGCCATCCCTAATGGCCGTGGAAAGTTGGCCCCGAAGAAGGAAATTAGGAAACTGACTCGTAGAGCTCACTGAGTAGAGGGATGGAACCGTACAGCTCGGATGTGTGAAAACAAAAGAACACTGATCGAGGAGACGTGCGAGCGCCACCAGCGGAGTCGAGCATAGCAACAACTTCCTGCGTACCTTCGTCCCTGTCGAGTTGCAAAAGTACGTCAAGGCAGCGCGACGTGGTGGGGATGGGGAGCTTGTGCATGGCCGTCATGTACGGGCTCGCGTGGAGGACGTGACGTTCCAAGACGCGGACAAATTGTGGATTGAGCTGCAAACTGGCAGCCGTGTGCGATTGGAGCTGCGGGTCAACGACAATGTACTGAACCGAGTTGGGTCCCTCGGCGGTCCACGTTTTCCATTACATCGTCCTGTGAATTCTCCTGGCGGACAGCTTGTGCGGGGAAAAGTGTGTTCCCGCTCCGAAGTACTGGACTGAATGTCATGCACGGCGAGTTCGAAAAAGTTGTGGTGAGCCCGGGCATGAGCCTTGAAACCTTCGCGTCGGTAGAATTGGATAAGGGCTGCCCCGGGCTCCGAGAAAGACCTGGTGAAGTCGATCACGTGCTTACTGAGCTGGCAACATGATCCCGCGCATTCTGTGGAGAACCGGGCGACGCCGCAGTGACAACGGATGCAGTCCTGGAGCCCCAGCGATAGAGATCGGCAGCCTGGGGGGCGTGGAGCAGCTCCCACTGGGCGTGGCGGACGCGCTGCGAGCCCGCGTGGTGTGGCGTGTTTTTTTGGTTGCCCGGCGCCGAAGCGGGTCTTCGCCCCGGAGCTCTCCGCAGCGCGTGCGGGAGAGGTCTTGCTGGGGGGCGGCCGCCCTCCCGCCGAGTGGCACAGGACCTGCAGCCTCGAGCGGATCGGTGCAGCCGTCCATTTTGCCGAAGCGGCGTCGTTCGCGAAGCGCCTCGCAGCGGGTGCGTTGCAAGAGATTTTGTTTGGGGGCCGACCGCGATGGTGCCTCCCGCTGACTGGTACAGGGCATGCAGGCCCGATTGGACTGTTGCAGTTGTGTGTATGGGAAAATGCAGTTGCAGGCAGGGTTTGGCCACAACCAGAGCAACTGCATGCAGACATGAGGGATGTGGCGCATGCGAGCGCCGAAAAACGTAAGCCAACGGCTACGGTTTCATGTGTACGTACACGCTTGCAGACATGTCTGGCAGTGAATAACGACAAAAGGCCTTCGTAGGCCCGCGCATTGGCCTGCTCGTGGCTCTGGTGCCCCGGTGCGCAATGCGAAGGAATGGCAAACCATGCGAATGAATGCCAAGCACGCCGACGCAATGCCAAGCAATGCCACAATGTACAAAGCAATGCCAAGCCGAGGATGTCATGTTGCAGCGGGTCGCAACGGGGCACGCGAACGTAAGTAACTCGTGGGGAATGCACGGAATCCCGAGTTCGCAGCACATTTCCAGAAATGTGGTTGCGAATCCAGGATTCGGGTAAGTTTGGTAGACAACGCCGCGTGGGCCTTGTTGGAGCCCCCTGGTGGGCTGGCTCGGGGCCCTCTCGAGCCGTCCTGAGACCATCTTGGGCCGTGTTGAAGAGCTTGGGCACTCTGGGGACCTCACTGGGGCTACGTGGGCCCTCCTGGTGGCCTCCCCTGGCCTTTCTGGGAGCGTCCCATGGCCTTATTGGGCTTCTCTATAAGGGCCCTCTGAGGGCCTGTTGGGCCTCGTTGTGGCCAATTCGGGGCTTCTCTCGGCAGTCCTGGGGCCATCCAGGCCGTCCAGAGGCTCTCTTGGGGGTCTCTTCGGTAGTCTTGGGGCGATACCGTAAGCTTTTCTGGCTGCTTAAAACATACAGCGAACTACAGCGAATATGCTGAACATGTAAGTGTCCCGGAGGGAATATAAAGCGATGTCTGCGTTCTGGGAGTCCTGTTCAGGGCCTCCTGGGCCGTCTTGGGGGCCTCTGGAGGCTATCTGGGTCCTTCTTGGAGCGCTCTTGTGCTGTCTGGCTCCGGCCTCTCTGAACACCGTCTAGGAGCGCCCTGGGAGGTCTAGGACGAGCCGGGGGACCTATGGCAAGAGTGTACAGGAGGCCCGGAAACCGTGGATCCTGGGGGTCCAATTGGGGGGGAGGGTTCCCACCCCCTGGCTTGCAAAAAACAGGAAGAGAAAAACATAAATGCATGTGTAGATGCATACATTCATGTATGTACACACATGTAGGTATGTATATGTGTATGTAAATGTATGTGTATGTAAATGTAAATGTACATGTAACTGTGCATGTGTATGAATATGATTATGTCTAAGGCTACGTGAATGGATATGTACATGTATATGCAAAGGTGTCTCTCTCTCTATATATATATACATACATATACATATAGAGATATATACATATATATATATACACAAATACTCACGTACATCCATATACACACATATATATATATATATCCTACTGGGCCCCACTTGAGCAGGCACTAGATCTCACCCAGTCTCATCAAACATACAGCTCGAAAGCGCGCTGGGCCGAGCAAACCACACCTGGCCAACTAAGGGAAGTGTCACTCCTTGTGTCTGGCCGAGGCCTCGCTGGCGGCTCGGAGAGCTCCGCCCGCGCCGCCGCTTCACGGCGCCCACCCCGCGCGGGGCGCCCGCCGCGCCGGCGGCGCACGCCCTTCGGGGCCCGGGCCGGCCCTTGAGCGCGCTCAGGGCGGCAATCGCGCCACCCGCTGCCGCCATGGTGTTCCTTCGGGGGCCCAGACATCCGCCGCTGTGATTTGTCAGCCCGCGGCCAAGAACTCCCGACCGCTTCCCCAGGGGTCCATGTTTGTTTCATGTCTCGGCTCCACTCTCGAGGGGCCCTGGGTCCGAGAGCGGCCCACGCGGGCCGAAACGGAGGGCGAGCGCCGCGAAGGAGCGAATCATGCCGTCGGAGGTCTGGGGACGCGACCTGGGCCAGCGCGGACCCCAGGTCCGCAATGGGGGCGCGCCGCGGCGCCCAGCCCGCCGCACAGTGGTGCCCGGAGGGGGTCGGCTGGCCCCCGTCAGGGCATGACCCCCGTTGCGGGCGCCCCGACTCCTGTCGGCCGCGGAGGTCCGACCGCCGACGACCCGCAGCTGCAGCATCGGGGCGCGTCAGGCGACTTGGCCTTGGTGGGCAATGCATACGTCCTTCGGGGGGGGAGCAAGAAAGCCTCACGCAGCCTCGTCTGCATCCCAGGGAGTGTCCTTTCCCGCGGCCGCCCTTTCTTTCATTTCCCCTCCCCTGGCATGCCGACCAATTCGTTTTGTAGTGCCCCTGCATCGCTGCCACGCTGGAGCGGGTCGTCCCGCCTCGCCGCCGACGGAAAAATAACGGGGGAGTGGAGTGGCCGAAGGCGTGCCCGAGAATCTGCCCTGGTGTGCCGAAGCCCGCGCCCGCACTGTTCCGAACGCGCCTGCGTGTGACCGAAATTCTTGGCTCGAGGCCAAAGCGATTCTCAATGTCGGCCACAAACTCTGTCGCACGATGTGCTCGGCCACAATCTCGGGCGAGTGGTCGACCACTTACTGCTCTCGGTCACATAATCAGAGTGGGGGGCCGAACGGTCATTCATTGTCCCTGGGTGCGTGGCTGATTAGAGAATTTGTGGGGAGAATTCGCCTTGTTGCGTTGTTGTTGTTGTGGTTGGTGTTGGTGTTGGTGTTGGTGTTGGTGTTGTTGAACATTATTAATTCTAAAGAATAATTATTGTTGGGCCCCCTGGTGCGCGCCCCCCCCGCCGCGCCTAGGCCGCAGCCACGTTTTCATCATTTTCGTGAGGAAGCCTCAGGTAATTCGAGGTGATCAAGATCCGGTTGTTTTGTTGTAATCCGTTTTCCCTTGCAAAAAACACTATAAAATGACATTTCTTGTTCTAATATAATCAAATTTCAAGAATCCCTTGCAAAAAATAAGGTAAAGTGGACATTCGCGCGCGCAAGACGAAATCCTTCCAAAAGCTTAGTGTTCGGAGCGATTTTAACATAAAAACATCAAAAAACCAATGGTTTTTCAACAAAAAAATGTCAAAATCTCATCCCGCGCGCTCTTGCGGATTCGTAGGAAACCCAACACTTTTTAAACATTTCTGTCAAACGGGCTTTTGCGAGCAACTTTTTCGAACTTCTGCGACAACGGTTGCGCACCTGCCAGGGCCATCATCCCTGTCAAATAATACCATGCGGGACACATTCGTTTTTTCTTCGCGCGCGCACGCCGAAATCTCCAAAAACCATTGGGCTTCTTAAGAATTTTAGCACCGCGCATCATAAAATCACACGAATCGCACCGTGGGTTAACAACTTCTGTGGGTTAACAAGGCTTAACAACTTCTGTGGGTGTACGAACGTAGGCTTAACAACTTCTGTGGGTGTGTACTCCACGCCAGTGTAGTAGCCACGGTCGTCCGCAGGCCACGAAGTGAAGTGTCCGAACGTCATAGGGCGGGAAGCTGGGTGTGGGTGGTGGCGAAGAGTCGTGTGGATATTTGGTAGAGCTTGCACTGCCCCCCCACAAAGTGGGGGTATTGGCTGGCGTCGCATGAAAACCCTGGCACTGGTGAGAACACTGAGCGTTCGGGTAAAGTGATTGTTGTTGTTGTTGTTGTTGAACATTTTTTTCTTCTAAAGAATAATTATTGTTGGGACCCCTGGTGCGCGACCCCCCCGCCGCGCCTAGGCCGCAGCCTCATTTTCATCATTTTCGTGAGGAAGTCTCAGGCAAAACGGGTTGGTCCGGATCCGGTTGTGTTGTTACGATCGGTTTTCCCTTGCAAAAAATAAGCTAAAGTGGACATTTCTTGTTCTAACATAACCAAACTTCAAGAATCCCTTGCAAAAAATAAGGTAAAGTGGACATTCGCGCGCGCAAGACGAAATCCTTCCAAAACCTTAGTTTTCGTAGCGATTTTAACATAAAAACATCAAAAAACCAATGGTTTTTCAAAAAAAAATGTCAAAATTTCATCCCGCGCGCTCTTGCGGATTCGTAGGAAACCCAACACTTTTTAAACATTTCTGTCAAACGGGCTTTTGCGAGCAACTTTTTCGAACTTCTGCAACAACGGTTGCGCACCTGCCAGGGCCATCATCCCTGTCAAATAATACCATGCGGGACACATTCGTTTTTTCTTCGCGCGCGCACGCCGTCGTCGTCGGCCGCGGGGCCCTGAATAGTAGCCACGGTCGTCCGCATGCCACGAAGTGAAGTGTCCGAACGTCATAGGGCGGGAAGCTGGGTGTGGGTGGTGGCGAAGAGTCGTTTGGAAATTTGGTAGAGCTTGAACCGGCCCCCCCACAAAGTGGGGGTATTGCCCGCCTCCTATGAAAACCCTGGCACTGGTGAGAACGGTGTGTCCCCACGTGCTAGTAATTGTTGTTGTTGTTGTTGTTGTTGTTGTTGTTGTTGTTGTTGTTGTTGTTGTTGTTAAAGTCTCATTTATGAAGAATAAATATTGATGGTATCCCCACCGGTGCAAACTGTTTTTTCTCAATTACAATGTGCCCCTCGACGCTCGCATCCTGTTTTCCCTATCAGGGAAAATCTTGAAGCTCAAACTCTGCCCCTGGCCCCCGGGTTACAACAACAACGGCTCCCGCCTGCGACTTCCTCACAATTCAGCTAGGACCCCCGCTCCCGCCCGAGACTTCCTCGAATTCTATTCAGAAGTCGCGCTCTCCCTTGGGATTTCCTTACAATTGATTCAGGAACTGGTCTCCCTGAGCTCTGGAGTCGCGTTCTCGCTGGACTCTTCCTTGTAATTAAGTGAAGAATGACGCCGTTGCGTTGGAATTTCCTGCAAATTACTCAAGCGCCGCGCTCCCGACACCCAGGCACCCAGGAGTCGCGCTCACGCTTAGGACTCCCTCACATATTACCTGGGAATCAGGATCTTGCTGCCCTTGGTGGCCCCGTTGCAACCCTTTGTGGCCCCCTCGCTTTGTTCCGTGGCCTCGTTGCAGCCCTTCGTGGCCCCCTCGTTGCCCTTCGTGGCCCCGTTGCAGCTCCTCGTGGCCTCCTCGCTGCCCTTCGTGGCCCCGTTGCAGCCTTTCGTGGCCCCCTCGTTTTGTTTCGTCGCCCCGTTGCAGCCCTTCGTGGCCCCCTCGCTGCCCTTCGCGGCCCCGTCGCAGCCTTTCGTGGCCCCGTGCCCTTCGTGGCCCCCTCGCTGCCCTTCGTGGAACCGTTGCATCCCTTCGTGGCCCTCTCGCTGCCCTTCGTGGCCCCATATATGTATGCTCTTCGTGGCCCCCGCTCATTCGCGCCCGCGGTGGCCCCACATGCGTGCCCTTCGTGGCCCCGCTGTCGCCCTTCGTGGCCCCCTCGCTGCCCTTCGTGGACCCGTTGCTGCCCTGAGTGGCCCAGTCCTTGCCCTCCGCGGCCCAGTCTACTTGTGCCCTTCGTGGCCCCCGTTCGTTCGCGCCCGCCGTGGCCCCATATGCATGCCTTTCGTGGCCCCGCTGTCGCCCTTCGTGGCCCCCATCGCTGCCCTTCGTGGCCCACCTGCTGCCCTCAATGGCCCAGTCCTTGCCTTCCGCGGCCCAGTATTCGTATACCTTTCGTGGCCCCCGCTCGTTCGCACCCGTTGTGGCCCCATGTGCATGCCCTTCGTGGCCCCGCTGTCGCCGTTTGTGGCCCTCTCACTGTCCTACGTGGCCCAGTTGCGACCCTCAGCGACCCCATCGTTGCCTTCTGTGGCCCCGCATTATCAGCCCTTCGTGGCCCCCGCTCGTTCGCGCTCTCCGTGGCCCCATACGCATTCCCTTCGTGTACCCGCTGTCGCCCTTCGTGGCCTACTTCGTGTCCTTGTGGCCCTGCTGTCGTTCTCTCTCGCTGTCGCTTTCGCTCGTCGTCGTCGTCGTCGTCGTCGTCGTCGTCGTGGTCGGTCCCCTGTCCGTCCCTCTTGGGGTCGGGTCGACGGTCCGCGGCCGCCCCGCCGATCAGCGCTGCCGCTGGCCAGGCCGACGGTCCGCGGCCGCCCCGCCGCTTGCAGGGGCCCGACCTGCAGGGAAGAAAAGTATGCCCCCCGAAAGGGGTTCGATCGAAGACGAGGAAGGCGGGTATCGAGGGTTTGGGAAATACGCGTTATTGGACACTCGAGCAGATAAGGGCGAACAGTCTTAAAATGTTTGTTGTTGTCGTTGGTATTCTTAGTTCCATTGGTATTGTTGTTGTTGGTGGTGTTGTTGTTGAGCTCTCATTTCTGAAGAGTTATAACTGTTGATCCCCCCTCACCGGTGCATGCTGTTTTTTCTCAATCAAAGTGTGCCCCTCGACGCTCGCACCCTGTTTCTTGACAGGGACAGCCTTCCTGCTCAAACTGGGCCCCTGGCCCCCCGGATTACAACAACAACGGCTCCCGGCTGAGAGTTCCTCGAACTTTACTCGGGGTTCCCGCTCCTGAGACTTCCTCACGATTTACTCAGGATCGGTGCTCCCGCCTATGACTTCCTCGCAATGTAGTCAGGACCCCCGCTCCCATCTGAGATTGCATCACAAATTACTCAGGAACGGCGCTCCCGCCTGAGACTTTCTCGCAATTGAATCAAAGCTTCCTCGCAATCTAATCAACACCCCCGTTCCCGCCAGGAATTGCGCTCTCGCCTGTGACTTCCATGCGATGTATGCAGAAATCGCGCTTTCGACGTTCAGGAAACACGCTGCGCCTAGTAATCGCAGTAATCGCGCTCTCGCCATACTCTGGCATCCCGCTTGAATGTCCCACCCGCCCGACACGCCCGTCAAGGGATCGCCCGCCCATCGTGGGCTCCCGTCCGAGACTTCCTTCAGGAACGGCGCTTTCGCCTAGGACTTCCTCGACCGTTCACGCTCTTACCTTCCTGCTCCTCCTCCCTCTCCCTCTCCCTTCTCCCTCCTCCCTCCTCTCCTCCCTTATCTCTCCCTCCTCTCTTCCCTCATCCTTGTGCCGCTCTGCCCTATCCCCTCTCCCGCTTCTCCCTCCTCCCTTTCCCCTCGCTTGCCTCCTCCCTCCCTGTTCTTGCTATTTCTCTCCCTTCTCTCTCTTTCTCCATCTCTCTCTCTCTCTCGCTCTCTCTCTCTCTCTCTCTCTCTCTCTCTCTCTCTTTCTCTACCTCTATTATATGTACGTGTTTGTTTGTTATATCTCTCTCTCTCGCTCTCTCTCTCTCTCTCG